TGAACAGTTGCCCTTCCCCAGACGACGGCCCAGGACAGTCGCGTTTGGACGAGTAGAGTGTGCTGAGGGGTGCTGAGCTGAATGGGCAAGTAAAGGCTGAAATGCAGCCCAGAGCCGTGACTCAGCCCACGGCTACGCTCATCTGACGGAAAGGCATCTAGTTTTAGTTATACACACACGTTCTTTAGTCATTCAGTCGTGTCCCACTCTTTGTGACCCTCTGGACTGCAGTATGCAAAGCTTCCCTTTGAACATCCTTTGGCATTGCTTTTCTTTGGGATTGGAATGAAAACTGACCTTTTCCAGTCCTGTGGCCACTGCTGAGTTTTCCAAAGTTGCTGGCATATTGAGTGCAGCACTTTCACAGCGCCATCTTTTAGGATTTGCAATAGCTCGACTGGAATTTCATCACCTCCACTAACTTTGTTTGTAGGGATGCTTCCTGAGGACCACTTGACTTCTCATTCCAGGATGTCTGGCTGTAGGTGAGTGATCCCACCATTGTGGTTATCTGGGTGGTGAAGATCTTTTTCATATTGTTCCTCTGTGTATTCTTGCCATCTCTTCTTAATATCTTCTGCTTCTGTTAGGTCCACACCATTTCTGTCCTTTATTGAGCCCATCTTTGCATGAAGTGTTCCCTTGGTATCTCTAATTTTCTTGAAGAGATCTCTAGTCTTTCCCGTTCTACTGTTTTCCTCTATTTCTTTGCTTTGATCACTGAGGAAGCCTGTCTTATCTCTCCTTGATATTCTCTGGAACTCCGCATTCACATGGGTGTAACTTTCCTCTTCTCCCTTGCCTTTTGTGCTTTTCTTTTCTCAGCTATTTGTAAGGCCTCGTCAGACAATCATTTTGCCTTTCTGCATTTCTTTTTTTTGGGGATGATCTTGATCACTTCCTCCTGTACACTGTCACGAACCTCGGTACATTTTTCTTCAGGCATTCTGTCTACCAGATCTAGTCCCTTGAATCTATTGGCCACTTACACTGTATAATCATAAGGGATTTGATTTAGGTCATACCTGAATGTTTGGTGGGTTTCCCTACTTTCTTCAAATGCTCAAAGCCAGGGTTCAACAGTACATGAACCATGAACCTCCAGATGTTCAAGTTGGATATAGAAAAGGCAGAGGAACCAGAGATCACATTGCAAACATCTGATGGATCATTAAAAATCACGAGAGTTCCAGAAAAACATCTCCTTCTGCTTTATTGGCTATGCCAAAGTCTTTGACTGTGTGGATCACAACAATCTGTGGACAATTCTTAAAGAGATAGGCATACCACACCACCTAACTTGCCTCCTGAAAAATCTGTATGCAGATCAAGAAGCAACAGTACATAGTACATGATGAGAAGTGCTGGGCTGGAGAGAGCACAAGCTGGAATCAAGATTGCTGGCAGAAATATCAATAACATCAGATATGCAGGTGACCCCATCCTTATAGCAGAGAGTGAAGAAGAACTAAAGAACCTCTTGATGAAAGTGAAAGAGGAGAGTGGAGAAGTTGGCTTAAAACTCAACATTCAGAAAGCTAAGATCATGGTATCCAGTCCCATCACTTCATGACAAATAGATGGGGAAACAATGGAAACAGTGACAGACTTTATTTTTGGCGGCTCCAAAATCACTGTGGATGGTTACTTCAGCCATATTAAAAGACACTTGCTCCTTGGAAGAAAAACTATGACCAACCTAGACAACTTATTAAAAAGCAGAGACATTACTTTGCTACCAAAGGTCTGTCTAGTCAAAGCTATGGTTTTTCCAGTGGTCATGTATATATGTGAAAGTTGAAGTACAAAGAAAGCTAAGTACTAAGTACTAAGTACAGTGCTTTTGAACTGTGGTGTTGGAGAAGACTCTTGAGAGTCCCTTGGACTGCAAGGAGATCCAACCAGTCCATCCTAGAGGAGATAAGTCCAGGGTGTTCATTGGAAGGACTGATGCTGAAGCTGAGACTCCAATACTTTGGCCACCTGATGCGAAGAACTGACACTTTTGAAAAGACCCTGATGCTGGGAGGGACTGGGGGCAGGAGGAGAAGGGGACGACAGAGGATGAGATGGATGCCATCCAGATGGCTGGATGCCATCACCGACTCGATGGACAAGAGTTTGAGTAAACTCCAGGAGTTGGTGATGGACAGGGAGGCCTGGCGTGCTGCAATTCATGGGGTTACAAAGAGTTGGACATGACTGAACGACTGAATTGAACTGAGCTGAACTCTGCATATAAGTTAAATAAGCAGAGTGACAATACACAGCCTTGACGTTCTCCTTTTCCTGTTTGGAACCAGTCTGTTGTGCCATGTCCAGTTCTAACTGTTGCTCCTTAACCTGCATATAGATTTCTCTATATAGAATCAGATAAGGTGGTCTGGTATTCCTATCTCTCTAAGAATTTTCCACAGTTTGTTGTGATGCACAGAGTTCATGGCTTTGGCATAGTCAATAAAGCAGAAGTAGATGTTTTTCTGGAACTCTCTTGCTTTACAGTCCATGGAATTCTCCAGGTCAGAATCTTGGAGTGGGTAGCCTTCCTTTTCTCCAGGGGATCTTCCCAACCCAGGCGTTGAACCCAGGTCTCCTGCATTGCAGGCGGATTCTTTACTGGCTCAGTCACCAGGGCAGCTGGAGGAGCCTTGGGAGTGAGTCTAAAGGTCAGCTCAACCTGGCCTTGGTCCAAAGGAAGCTTTTCTAGCATAGTTTAGGAAGTCACAGGCAAGACATTTGATATTTCACAGCTGTTTAGGACCACCAGCAATACAATAACATGGTGAGCAAATTATTCATTATTAATTTTATGAAACAATATCAGAGAATTGGCTGAACATTTTCACTTTGCTTATCTCTGTGGTGAATAGTCATAAAATCTATCTTCTACCAGAGGTAAATACTTCAGGCTCTTACAACAGAATATATGACAATTTATTATGAAAGTACTTTGCAACTGAGCAGACATTGGTAGATGCTTTTCTTTTCCCTTGGTGTAGTGCTAAACCACATTTTGTGCCTAAATAGAGACTTTACATTTTCTTTAGGAAGCATTTCTGAATATACTTTACTAGTGAACATTACCCCCCCAAAAAAGAAAAATTCTATGAGTTTATATTAACCATTTCTATGTGGGTGATTTTCTCCAAAATAGTGGAGTAGAGTTGTAGGTGTGGATATATTTAAATCCTGTTAAATTCTTGCAATGAATTTATAGTGATTGTAATAAAGGAACAAATCAGATTTGTTTTTTTAATTGTTATAAAGCTGCAAAGATAATTATGCTATCTAATAGTTTGACTAGCATGATGCTATTTTCGATGGTCACGTGCCTTTTAACAAGGTGTTTAAAATAATATAAGAAACTAGGCATATGTCTTTGCATCAAATGAAGATAAACGGGGACTCTGATAAAATGATTATCATCGCCCAGGAAGAGCAAACAAGTCCGAAATAGTTCTCTCAGTACTTAGAATATTTTAGGGTATTATTCTGGAAGATGCCTAACCCTCGCCACTCGATCTGCTCTCCTTCTCACTGGGCTGGTGTCTGGGTGAAAGTGCTGACTGGTTCTGTCTGTTGTCATTGTTCTTTCACACTCACAGGTTGAATGAGATTGAAACCTAGTTGGGAACCAAATCCCAGCATCATAAGCTTGTCTCACCTGTACTCCTAAGATAATAATTAGAAATGGCAGAAACTTGAACCCTAGAGATCCTTCAGATACACAAACTTGTATTCCATCTAAAAGCAAAAATAATGCTCAGCTGAGGTTATTAATGTTTTCCAGTGAGCTTTTATTCAATGCAAATACAGAGTCCCAAAACATAGGAAAAAAGAAAAAGAAAGCTTATTGTTGTAAGACAGAGTGCTTCAATGAAGAGAGGTGAAAAATGAAAACCACAGAATGTATCTGTCTTCTGCTTGCACAATGTATACAAGATACATCTTTTCTATCCCAACTGAGGTGAATTTAAATATTAAGATAGTCATTTATATCACTCAAGGGTGCAACTAAATATGCCTTAAATTTTAAGCTTCCCACGGGGCCCTGATAGAACCCCACAGCTGCTGAGGCAATAATCTGTAACAATCAGCTGACCAACTGATCTTGTAATGGTAAGCTATCAGAATTCAATTTGGCCATTGTGAAGCCTGTAATTTAAACAGAACACTGCTGGGATTTTCATAAATTGAAGCAACAAAATAAGTGCTAGAAGAATCTTGACTTTTATCATTGCACATTCAGATTTAGATTATTCTAATTTCTAAAATACAGACTTTTTATACTTTTTTCTACCAAATACAGTAAGAAATCAATTTTTAATGGAACCTCATAAAGATGACTGTTTTAAAAAGGTATATAGTTAGATTTCTAAGATCAGAATGGATTGCCAAAGTAATATTCTAGCTCTCTTGATGGTGGTATTTAAAATTTTGATTTCTGTTTTCTGGGAAGATTTATGTCCAATTGTTAAAAGCAAAGGTTTGCAGAGCCTCTGTAATTCTCCTTTTCCCCTTTTTAATTGAAGTATAGTTGACTTACAATATCATATTAGTTTCAAGTATAAAACATAGAAAACAAAATTTTATAGGCTTGCACCATATGTTATTTATTTTAATTAATTTAATTTTTAATTGAAGGATAATTGCTTTACAGAATTTTATTGTTTTCTGTCAAACTTCAACATGAGTCAGCCATAGGTGTATATATGTTTAGTTTTAATTATATTTCTTGTGTTGTCCATTACATCCCCGTGGCTTATTTATTTCATCTTTGATGAAGTTCTCACTGTGTTTCTCTATTCTTCCCCTAAGGTTAGTGATCATTTTTATGCTTTGAACTCTTGATCAGGTAAATTACTTATCTCTTTTTCTTTGGAGCATTTTAATACTAGGATTTTATATTGTTCTTTTTTTTTTTTAAGAATCTGTTCCTCGGTCTTCTCATTTTGCTTGATTGACATACTGGGTTTGTCTCTCTGAAGTCAGGGGAACCGTTACTTCTCCTGGTCCTGAAGGCATGTCCTTTTGCCGGTGTGTCTCCATTCAGACTGCCAGGAAGCGGTGTCACTGGTGGGGGGGCCGGAGCTGATGCAAGCACAGGGCTTTTCTTCCGTCCCCAGGAGCTGTTGCGTTGGCAGGATGGGGGAGGAGGCGGATTGGAAATGGAGGGGCTGCAGCTGGAGTCTGGCCGGCCCGGTCTGCCCCAGGGATGCTGGGCTGTCGCCGTGGTGGGGCAATGGAGCTGCGGCTGGGCGGGCTTTGGGTGTGCCGGGTGGCCGGGGCAGGCTGACTCCAGCGCCGGGCGCTTTGCAGTCGGATGCTCTGTGCAGCAAGTTGGGGCTAGTCAGTTCACACGTGAGCCCGTAAGAGAGGAGCTTAGCTTCCTACAGCTCAGCGCCACTAGTTTTCAGAACTAGTTCGGGGATCTCACCCTCCGGATGCAGGTCCCCAGGGCTGTGATCAGTGAGGGTCAAGCTCTCTTCTTGGTGAAGACTGCTGAGTTCGTGATACCCCTCCCTCTTTCGGCCATCCGCTGTATTTAAATACTAGTTTATATATATATTTTTAGTATATCAGCCCGATTTGTAATATATTTTTTTTAATTCTAAAACTTTACAAAAATAAGTAGAGCTATAAACAGAATAACGACTGATAGAAGATACACAAATGCCCAAATAAATATAGAAAAATAAATGTATGAAAGTAAATGGATATGTGGAAATATATTTATTATATCAAATAAATATATAAAAATTATAGCAACTAGTAACATAAAATACGTATATAGTATAATGTGGTATCATTATTATCTATCAATTTATCAAATATTTTAAAAATATGTTATGTAGCATTACTAAAGTTAGCCAAGTATTCTCATTTATACCTGGAAACCAGTCTTTTATAAGAACCATGAGGTTAGGTTAATTATATCACATTGGTTTTACTAAATAAATTCACTGATAACCTAAGAAACAATCAGAAATATACACACAAATGTTTGTCCAAAATGTAATTTGATTTTAATAATAACGATGATGATTGTTGTTTCGGCACTAAGTTCTGTCTGACTCTTTGTGACTCCACGGACTATATCCCCCCAGGCTCCCCATCCATGGTATTTCCCAGGCAAAAATCCTGCAGTGGGTTGCCATTTCCTTCTCCAGGGGTCTTCCCAACCCCGGGATTGCACCCATGTCTCCTGCATTGGCAGGGAAGCTTTACCACTGAGCCACCAGGGAAGCCCCGATAATGATGATACGTAGCATTTAATGAACAACTGTCGTGTATCAGGTCCTTTTCTTGAAGCTGTTAATTTACTGACAATTATATGAAATATGTACTATTATTATCCCTACTTTATTTATGAGAAAACTGAGCACTAGAGGTTTTAAGTAAATTATCCACAGTTCATAGTAATGTGTCTAGATTACATACCATTCGAGCAATTCTTGTTCCTGCGTATGTTCTGTTGCATTCATATTACTTTTAGGAATAATAGTAATAATAGCAGAAATAGCCAGAATGCCTCACAATCAGTGTGTTGCTAAGTCGCTTCAGTCCTGTCTGACTCTGTGTGGCCCCATGGACTGCAGTCCGCCAGGCTCCTCTGTCCATGGGATTCTCCAGGCAAGAACACTGGAGGGGGTTGCCATGCCCTCCTCGAGGAGAACTTCCCAACCCAGGGATCGAACCCACACTCATAATGCCTCATAATAGTGGAGTTTTCTATATAAATATGGGATATACATATGAAAAATTATATGTAGCATTCAGAACATTTAAAAAAAATTTCTAATGAAATGGCAAAGAGCTAATATTTTAAAAAATAAGTAGGATACTACAAAACATGTATATTTCCAATTATTTATAAACATATGCATATACTATATAGCAAGAAAATTATCTTTAGCAGTCATAATTTATCATCAAAATGAAATTTTCTTTGTTCAGGAAAGTACCTTAATACTTTGTCTAAATATATATTATGAAATACAGATGTAATTAAATAGTAGGAGATAATAAAATATGTAGATTCCTGTATGGAATATTTTATATATCTTCCTCACTAAAAAATAAATGTATGCATTTACATATTCATTTGTTCAGGAACAGAATTTTAGGGTGAGGAAAGAGTAACACCAAGGAAATGAAAAGACAAAGGATAGGGAAAATGTGGTGTGCTGACAAAGTGAGAGAAGGAAATCAAGAGGGATAAAAGGAAGTTCAGTTCAATCGCTCAGTCGTGTCCGACTCTTTGCGACCCCATGAACCACAGCACGCCAGGCCTCCCTGTCCATCACCAACTCCCGGAGTCCACCCAAACCCATGTCCACTGAGTCGGTGATGCCATCCAGCCATCTCATCCTCTGTCATCCCCTCAATCTTTCCCAGCATCAGAGTCTTTTCCAATGAGTCAGCTCTTCGCATCAGGTGGCCAAAGGATTGTAGTTTCAGCTTCAGCATCAGTCCTTCCAATGAACACCCAGGACTGATCTCCTTTAGGATGGACTGGTTGGATCTCCTTGCAGTCCAAGGGACTCTCAACAGTCTTCTCCAGCACCACAGTTCAAAAGCATCAATTCTTCGGACTGGACATTATTAACATTGTTAAAATTAGAACTGCATATTAACACAAATTATGAAAAATGATATAATATTTAATTTTAATTTTTGCTTTGTGGCAGCTATAGTGAATCTCTTTTATATCTCCTGAAACTCAAGTCAGTCTAAACACCTCTGTCTCACAGTATTTTTGCTTTGTTTTGCCCTTTCTTTTTAGTTTGGTAGGATAGCATAACGATTTAAAGTATCTCTGAGCCTTGAAAGACCCTGCTCAGGCCTTTGAACGCTGTCACCTTCCCCGTAAGGTCTTTCCAGACCTCTTTGAGAGGCTGCTGCAGCCTCCACCTTTGCTGCCTCGTCCCTCCTCTCCTAATCCGTTCTCCCCTGTAGCTCTCAGCGCCTCCCGAAATGTGAGCTGTTATGCTTGTTTCCTGCCCATGCCTGTCGCTCACACCCATGGAATGGAACTTGCCAAGAGTAAGATTCCATCTGTCTTCCTCACTATTGTTTCCCCAGGGCCCTGAACAGTGCCTAACATTGCAATGATTTTCATTGAGTATTTTTTAATAGATACAAGGATACATGACAATATTGGAGTGAGCAGTCGGCTAGATAAGGTTCTATAATCTCCCAGCTTTCTAGCCATTAGCTCTTGCGTTCCCTGACATGAAAACCCTGATGTTGTTGGCAAAGCTAAAGCATGCAGAGTTTGACTTTGAAGATTTTAAAAAGTGCTTTGAAGGGTCACTATTTATCAGCTTATTTGCTGACTTATCTTGGGTTGACTAGAAAAGATATTTAACTGCTGAAGCACATAGCTGAGTCAATTGAAATTTATGATATTTTCATAGGTCACCTTTAACATAATTAAACTGGAGTTAATTGTACATATATTTTATTCTACAGGTAATAAAGACAAATAAATTAGGTATTTCATTTACCACACTTATAAGCAGTTTTCCTGTTCAAAATATTCTGTGTACATCCCACTTAAAACTTCCATTGCATTCAGGTATATATTAGGCAACTGTCCAAAATCTGGAATGAGTGTGAAAGAAGCCATTTAATTTCATTATTATTAGCCTCTTCACATCTTGAACAAAGCTCATCTTCCCACTTAATCTACATGCAATGTAACCTTAAGAGAAAACATATTTAGGGAAGGAAAAGTGTATCATGCCTCTTCAGGTAAAATTAAACATCTGCAACAATTACTATTCTCCTTTGTACCTACCTATGTTTTTTGAGACCAAATTAAATCCTCAGTTGAGTGTAATATTTTCAGAAATCTGTCACTTCAGGCTCTTCCTTCAAACAACTAAATAGAAGTTGTTAGTTTTGCTTTAATTTTCACTCATTTCTGACTGGTTTTCTAAAATCACTTCAAAATTCTTTCAAACTGATGCTCCCCTACAGTTACTTACGAGATTATAATAAAGCTTCTCTCTTCCTTATTCTTATTCTTGCACTTTACTTCTTTGGATACTCTTTTCATTTAATACATCATAGTATTATGCTTTTGCTACAATAATTAAAATATATTTTTGTCTGTATGTTCATTTTAACAAAGAAAACTCTTGCCTTTTATTTCAGAGTGGCTTCATTTTATCATCTTAATGTAAGGTTAAGATAATATTCCATAAGATAAATTTAATATCTGATTTAGTTGGGTAGTAACAGCAAGGATACATCTTGTGTCCAAGAGAAATTTCTGATAACAACAGAATTAAAGAAGCAGGGGAAAAATTATTAAATTAATAAACCTGACAATGCTCTGAAAGCCAAGTCAAATATTACAGTTTTACCTATCCCCTGCTTTAGAGTACCACTTTGTCACCATTTCAGGTTGAGAGCTGAAAAGTGCCAGGGTCGTAACATGTTAATAGATTTTTAGTAAGAGGAAGTGCAAAGTTATTATTTTGTTCTATTTACTCAGAAAATGCACAGAAACATTGATGACAAAATTATTTCAGTGTGATTTTTGCATTTAAAATAGATTGGGAATTGTATAAAGAAATCTCAGCATTAGATACCAGAATTCTAAAAATAGTATTGTTATACTTTATAATTTGAGCATGGTTATGAAATTTTTAGTAAGAAGAGCTAAACTAATAACAAAATTTAAAAACACCATGGGTAAATTATTGGATTTTAAATATAGTATTCCTATTTAAATATTTGGTATTTATCAGTGATTTTTTCCACTTAGTTCAAATTACATTTGCTTCAAATTAGCTGATTTTCAGCTATTGCATCTTCAACATAGACAATTATAAAATTGGATTCTTTTATGAATCTGAATGCTATTATTATTTCATGGTTAAATAATCTTTATGTCTTCATTCCTAAATCATCTTAAACCATTATTGCCTAATTTCAATGATCTTATATTTTCTATTATCCTTTTCACTGAAGAAATCATAGAGAATGTAAGTGAATTTGAATATTTTTTGTTCTTCAAAAAGTCCTTGATGATTCTGAAGAAATTTTTAAACTTTCTGATAGTCTGTCCCTTCAGGAAGCCCAGTCAAAAAATATTTTGTTAACCAATGAAAATATAAGGAAGATATTGAATGCTTAATAATTATGAATGTGCTGTGTGTGTGTGCTCAGCTGTGTCTGATTCTTTGTGACCCCATGGACTGGAGCTCCCCAGGTTCCTCTGATCTTGGAGTTTTTCAAGCAAAGATATTGGAGTGGGTTGCCATTTACTATTCCGGGGGATCTTTCCAACCCAGGGATTAAACCTGTGTCTCTTA